AAAAAAAACTATTGTCTTTAGGCAAATGGAAGAATGAAAAATCCTTCTCACTGAATAAGACAATTAGGTTACACTGATACATGGTGGGAGAGATAACATACCTTCACACGGACGCTTTCTATTCAACGTTTCCCACAGAAGAACCCCAAAACTGGAAAATCATTAAAAAAAACTCAACAATTCCACTCTAATATACATGAAACACTCTAAAATGTTGAGATAATGCACCTCACCTATATATGTCAGCCTCTACAGAAGGAACAGCACCTTGTATGACTTCAGGTGACACATAGGCCAGATCTCTGTAACATGGTCCACGGCCATCAGAGGTGCTCAAGTGCAAGTCTATCTCTTGACCCCAGTCACACAACTACAATGCAACACACATTTTAAAAGTTAGTCAAAATTAAAGTAAAAACTAGTCAAGCAACAGCACAAAAATCATATTTCTATTTTAAGGGAATTTATTTATTTTTGCCAATACCTTGGCACAGTACTGTGGGTCGAGAAGAACATTAGTGGCTTTCAGGGCTCCATGAGGCAGAGGGATGGCATGGAGATGAGCTAAACCTTTAGAAACGTCCAAAAGGATCCGAAGACAAAGAGCCATTGAAAGCTCTGGAAACATGTCTGCCTAATGACAATAAAAAAATATATGTCACTTTCAGTTGTAGCCGCCTATTAAATAAGAATGCACAGACATTTCCTGAAAGTAGGAGTTATATTACTGATGACACAAGAGCTAAATGATAATGCATGTATTGGAATGCTATTCATTGGTTGGCACTAGTTTAAGTGCCTAGGGGATTTCCACTTTCTCACTGTCAGAAAAGTCAACACCATACAATCACATGCACTTTCTGTTTTAGATAACAGGCTCATCAGGTATGTTAACACATCTGTCTTGGACTTATTAAATCATCTTTTTAAATTAAGCATTTTATTTATTGAAGTTGTGTATTTTTAACTAAGTTTATGCTTACCTCATGCAGTAGTGAATCTAGAGATCCTTCCGTCATCCAGTCCCACACCAGCCCAACCAGAGTGTGCGTTGTGTACACACCCAATGGGACTAAAACTTGCTCAGAACACACCTGACCCAGCATTCCTTCTTTCTTTAACCTGTCAATCCATTTACTGATACAACACACACACACACACACACACACACACACACACACAC